CTTAATTATTTTTACATGTAATTCATCCCCATACTTACTTTTTTATGCATAAAACAGGAAGTAATCAATTTGGAAGGTGAATGAAAAAAATTGAAAGTAATACACAGTGTTATATATTTAGATATATATGTAATCTGGTAATATGTGTAATTCAGTTTCATATGTTAATTATACGGAATTGTACAACTGATGTACGGAAACGCCTTTTTATTTAGGCTCTCTCTTTTATATTATGTCGTAACGCAAGACGTGTTTTTATTCTGAGCTAGTCACAACCCCAAAACTAAAGTATAAATACAAGGCCCATATCTTTACATGGTGGAGAGACCCTAAAAAGAATATCTGGACACTTTTACTAAATTTTTGAGAATACTTGTGCAGTTTTCAAGGCAATTAATTTATTTTTAAAATGTGCTCCCGTGCTTGTAGACCCCATACAAGAGGACTGGACACATGGTTGATTCGTCAATATGAATAAATTATGAGAGCTTTTTGACCAGTGACTTATACGAACAAATATTAATTCATTTTATAACAAAATTTCCACACAAACAGAGACATTTATTTTTATTCATCTATTCCCCATTTATACAAAAATGATTCTTCCACGTGTCGGAAAACATCATGGACGTCCGTGGGTATATTCAAATATCTATGGTCTTGTATAGACCGAATTTCTTGGAATAATTGGAGTTTGCAAAAATAAAGATTTATTATAGTATGCATTGCCTGTATTTACTTTCATTTATGTAGAATGTGAGATTTATCTCATTTCTGCTTGTCTACTTACAGCTGATCGTACAGTATGTGAGATTGTTCTCATTACTGATTTTTCCGTGTTATATATATATATAACATTGTATTTTTATTGGTTAAATGTCGGAATGTTTTTTTTTTTGGGGTTTTTTTTTCTCCATTTTGAATTTAGGATTTATGCGTATGATATTTGTTTGTAATTTTTCATAACAATATAAGTTCAAAAGTTGCAAGGATTAGTTTAAGATTTAATCGTATTGTCAAAACTTTATAAAGAAAACTATACTTTATTTTAATAAAATGCTCCGCTGGACGCAGCTTGACACGACCGCAGAGGTCGAACCCTGAACATACATAAAAGTATGGACACAACATTCAAGCTTGATACAGCACTGAATTTGGATTGTGATTAAATATTTGACACAGCATAGGTTTCTGACACAGAATGAATGTGGTCTAAGAACTTAAAAATTTTTAATTTACCAATTCAAACCATATCCTTATTATTTGCTTTTATATATAAATCAGAAATAACCAATTTAAAATGGAAAATTTTAAAGAAAAAAAAAGGAAAAAAAGGAAAAAAAATCCCTCCCCCAAATTTTTTTAACCCCCTTATGATTCATCACCCCCAAACTCAATCCCAGCCTTCCCTTTGTGGTATGGTACCTTGCAGTACAATTTCAGAGAGATCCATACACTTGAACACAAGTTATTGTCTGGAAACTAGAAAAATGCTTGTTTTTAGGACCCTTTTTGGCCCCAAATTCCTAAACGTTTAGGGCAATTACCCCCAAACTCAAACAAGCTTTTCCTTTGAGATATGGAACCTTGTAGTACAATTTCATAAAGATCCATACACTTACACACAAGTTATTGTCCTGAAACTAGAAAAATGCTTGTTTTTTGCCCATTTTTTGCCCCCAATTCCTAAAATTTTGAGGCAATTACCCCCAAAATCAACCCAAGCCTTCCTTTTGTGGTATGGAACCTTGTAGTACAATTTCAGAGAGTTCCATACACTTGAACACAAGTTATTGTCTGGAAACTAGAAAAATGCTTATTTTTGGCCCCTTATTTCTAAACGTTTTGGTCAATTACCCCCCAAACTCAATTCCAGCTTTCCCTTTGTGATATGGAACCTTATAGTACAATTTCAGAAAGATCCATACACTTACACACAAGTTATTGTCATGAAACTAGAAAACAAGAGTGCACACGCTGAAATGTCTCGCCTTCTTTACTAATCATTGATATTATGTTGATAGTCCTAAATATAAAGCTTTATTACAACTGTCACATAAACTTAACATTAACCAAGTAAACTAAACATTGACCAATGAACCATTAAAATGAGGTCAAGGTCAGATGAACCATGCTAGGCAGGCATGTACAGCTAACAATTCTTCCATACAACAAATATAGTTGACCTATTGCTTATAGTTTAAGAAAACAGACCAAAACACAAAAACTTAACACTGAGCAATGAACCTTGAAAATGAGGTCAAGGTCAAATAAAACCTGCGTGACTGCCAAATAGATCATAAAATATTTCCATACACCAAATATAGTAGACCTATGGCATACAGTATAAGAAAAACAGACCAAAACACAAAAACTTAACTATAACCACTGAACCATGAAAATGAGGTCAAGGTCAGATGACACCTTCCAGTTGGACATGTACACCTTACAGTCCTTCCATACACCGAATATACTAGACCTATTGCTTATAGTATCTGAGATATGGACTTGACCACCAAAACTTAACCTTGTTCACTGATCCATGAAATGAGGTCGAGGTCAAGTGAAAACTGTCTGACGGGCATGAGGACCTTGCAAGGTACGCACATACCAAATATAGTTGAACTATTGCACATAGTATTAGAAAAAAAGACCAAAACTCAAAAACTTAACTTTGACCACTGAACCATGAAAATGAGGTCAAGGTCAAATGACACCTGCCCGCTAGACATGTACACCTTACAATCATTCCATACACCAAATATAGTAGACCTATGGCATACAGTATAAGAAAAACAGACCAAAACACAAAAACTTAACTATAATCACTGAACCATGAAAATGAGGTCAAGGTCAGATGACACCTGCCAGTTGGACATGTACACCTTACAGTCCTTCCATACACCGAATATACTAGACCTATTGCTTATAGTATCTGAGATATGGACTTGACCACCAAAACTTAACCTTGTTCACTGATCCATGAAATGAGGTCGAGGTCAAGTGAAAACTGTCTGACGGGCATGAGGACCTTGCAAGGTACGCACATACCAAATATAGTTATCCTATTACTTATAATAAGAGAGAATCTAACATTACAAAAAATCTTAACTTTTTTTTCAAGTAGTCACTGAACCATGAAAATGAGGTCAAGGACATTGGACATGTGACTGACGGAAACTTCGTAACATGAGGCATCCATATACAAAGTATGAAGCATCCAGACCTTCCACCTTCTAAAATATAAAGGTTTTAAGAAGTTAGCTAACGCTGCCGCCGCCGCCGGATCACTATCCCTATGTCGAGCTTTCTGCGACAAAAGTCGCAGGCTCGACAAAAATGTTTGTTTTTGCCCCTTTTTTGGCCCCTAATTCCTAAAATTTTGAGGCAATTACCCCCAAAATCAATCCCAGCATTCCCTTTGTGATATGGAACCTTGTGGTACAATGTCAGAGAGATCCATACACTTATACACAAGTTATGTCTGGCCCCTTTTTGGCCCCTAATTCCTAAACTGTTGGTACTATAACCCCCAAAATCAAGCCCAACCTTCCTTTTGTGGTATTGAACCTTATGGTAAAATTTCATAGAGATCCATTCACTTAAACTAAAGTTAGAGTGCGAAAACCAATGTGTCTTAGGAGGATAACACGACGACACCGGACGACGACGACACCAACGTCATACCAATATACGACCGCAAAATTTTATTGTGGTCGTATAAAAACTAAACATTGTTTTTCTATAGTGCTGATTGTTAATGAAAAAAGTTTAATGCCCCCAAAACATGGAAATTGGAATAATAATGGCAAATAGATAACCAAATGAGATTGTATGAATATCTGTCAGTGACTTTTATATGTTAATCACAAATAACCTAAGTAGTATTGCTGTGAGTAGTATGGTTCATGAGAAATTCAGAGTGCATGAGAGTATTATGAGCTGGTCTTATATTGTATTTTTGTGTGAGACTCTTTGAATGTGTGCATATTTTATCACGTTTAGCATTTATCTACAAAATAATAAGAGTAAGGTCTCTAGTGACTTCATAGTATTTTATATCATATGATATTTACTGTCACGTTTATGACGAGCAAGATATTTTTTATACATGTAGTACTCCGCAATGTGTTACAAGATGCTTATTCCACAAATTTATCCATACAAGTTACTTGATCATTTAATTTTTTAGATATATTGAATATTATGAAAGTTAGAAAGATATATTGGTAATATTGATCATGTATTTTTATTCGAGTGTGCTCTGAATTCCACACATGCAAAAATTCATTGGGAATTTTCTCCATGCTGGAGGATGTTATATATTTAGATATATATGTAAATTAATATGTGTAATTCAGTTTCATATGTTAATTATACGGAATTGTACAAGTGATGTCCGAAAACGCCTTTTTATTTACGCTCTCTTTTTTATAAAATGTTGTAACGCAAGACGTGTTTTTATTCTGAGCTAGTCACAACCCCAAAACTAAAATATAAAGACGAGGCCCATATCTTTACAACGGTCTATATATTCATAGACAAAGAAAATCAAAGGACATTAACTGTGATTCCTGACTAGAGGTATGAGTGTACAAAAAGATTATATAATACATGAATCATATGCATCACTGTTCAAAGAAATTCTCAAATATGACTTTTAACCTTAATCTGGTCTTTGGAAACTTAAATTTAGTATTAAACAAAATCCACATGTATGTTACTTAAAAGGATCCTTCTATATCATAGATACTTATCAAGTTACCATATACTGTGGATTCATTTATATTTGTTGGATACAAATTTTTGCTGATTTCTGTGGGTATAGCTAAACCACAAATTTAAACGTTCAACGAATTTCACATGTTATATAGGCTTTATGTAGACATTAGCAAAACCATGAAATTAAATACCCACGAAAATGCAAGTTTTCCTCAATCCACGAAAGTTGGTACCCACGAAAAATAAATGAATCCACAGTAGTTATTTGTGATACATACCTCATTGCCATAATTCATTAAATTCTGTATTGTTATTAAGGACTTAAACACTATTGTCCAGTTTGTATGTTGTGTTCTTTCTATCAGTAAATCCGCTAACTGTGGAATGGATACATTTGGCTCATTGGTGCACTGAATTAAATCTGCAAAATAAAAGCATGAAACTAGGTCACATATAACCTATGAAAGGTGGGCCTGCTGAAGGCTCCGTTGATTGTCTTTCAGGGGCGTAGCTAAGTATCAAATAAACTGTAGGCACAAATTGCGGCAGGGGGTCTGGGGGCCACTTAAGGCCCCTCGCAGGTCCAGGGCAGAGCCCTGATAGGGAGTTCAGGGGGCAAAGCCCCATGACGGAAAATGGTTTTCAGCATTTTTATTGCAAAATTTTGTGTACAAAAAACATAGAATTTACTGGTCATTTAATTTTATCATGATAATATAAATACATGAAGAAAAGTACAATCGGAAATATAAAAAAGAAATATTTACAATATGCATTGCCCAGCACAAACACATACACACACACAGTCGATGCCTAATGCAGAAGTTCTGTTCTGTTTAAACTAACAAAATTTAAGAAATTCCTATTTTCTGATATCCTGTACTGTATAAAATTTAAATCCTTACCTGCTTAGGACTTTGAATAATTATGGTCATTACACTTAGATCTGAGACTACTCAAAGTAACTGAAAGCTAGTTGATGATTGATTGATTGATTGCTAAACATCCCGTGGCAAATAGCTCATGCATTTTCAGGACAAAAACAAATTTACAATAAATACAACAGGTAGCCAGGTCATGTAATAGGGGTCGTCCAAGATGAAGGTCGGGAAATGCCATGCATTGGAAAATGAGGGTTTGGATAGGAACAGAAATTTTGCCTTTCAGTAGACCACCTACGAGCCCCTAAAAGAGTTGTTGCAAGTGTTCTTAACGTGCAGAGTGTGTGGCATTCTCTCTATACTACACTATACACTCTTAACATCCCCATTCTGACCAGACTTGACTGCGAATTTATACATCCTGCACAGCCAAAATGGACGCCCAACTTTGGCAAGGGTTTTATTGTAGGTTGGATGAAGACCAAGTGGAAAGCTAGTTGAAAGCCAACAACAACTAATTAAAACAAGAGTGCACACGCTGAAATGTCTTGCCTGCTTTACTGACAATTGATTTTATGTTGACAGTCCTAAATATAAAGCTTTACTACAAGTATCACATAAACTTAACATGATCCAAGAAAATGAGGTCAAGGTCAGATAAACCAAAACCGGAAATACATGTACACCTTACAATCATTCCATACACCAAATATAGTTGACCTATTGCTTATAGTTTCTAAGAAACATACTTAACCAGGAAAACTTAACATTGACCAATAAACCATGAAAATGAAGTCAAGGTCAGATGAACCATGCCAGACAGACATGCACACCTTACAATCACTTAACATTGACTAATGAACCATGAAAATGAGGTCAAGGTCAGATGATACCTACCCGACAAACAAATTCACCTTACAATCATTCTATACACCAAATATAGTTGACCTATTGCTTATAAATTATAGTTTAAGAAAAACAAACAAAAACACAAAAACTTAACACTGAGCAATGAAGCTTGAAATGAGATCAAATCAAGTAAAACCTGCCAGACTGATATGTACATCATAAAATATTTCCATACATGGTCACCAAATATAGTTGACTTCTGCATATAGTATTAGAAAAAAAGACCAAAGCACAAAAACTTTAACCACTGAACCATGAAAATGAGGTCACGATCAGATGACACCTGCCAGTTGGACATGCACGAGGACCTTGCAAGGTATGCACATACTAAATATAGTTATCCTATTACTCATAGTAAGAGAGAATTTAACATTACAAAAAATCTTAACTTTTTTTTCAAGTATACACTGAACCATGAAGTTGAGGTCAAGGGTAATGGACATATGACAGACGGAAACTTCTTAACATAAGGTATCTATATACAAAGTATGAAACATCCAGGTCTTCCATCTTCTAAAATATAAAGCTTTTTAAGTAGTTAGTTAACACCGCCGCCCCCGCTGGATAACTATCCCTATGACATGTATGATGAGCTTTCTGTGACAAAAGTCACAGGCTCGACAAAAAATTATGTATCTAAGAATAAAATGTCAGGGTTTTGAGCATGTTGAGGTTCATTCAAGTATTTGTTGGTAGAAGTGAAATGATCTGAACCAAAGTTCTAGTTTTTACTTTCTATATAAGGTGGAATATAATGACATACAATTCTATCCAATACTCCATTCACTATAAGGATGATAGACTAGTGTACAAATGACGTTTGATAATTAATGAGTTTTGACGACTTTACCTAGGCCTGCATCTACAGATAACGTTTATTAAAAAAAATATTTGTGAAAAAATTATGTGTAGGCACGTGCCTAAAGTGCCTAACTGCAGCTACACCACTGTCTTTGTTTTTATTATATTCAAATACAAACTGTATCTATTGAAATGGGGAGCAAAACAGTTTTTGCATCTCCAAGCCAATTAAATCAGCTACATTTGTAATCTTCTCTAGCCAAGGTCATAATCAATCCCCTGCATCTTCCCTCTACTATCGTAGACATCAGTTATAACAAGCATTCTGAGAGTATTGAATGGCAATACATAGTCCCCTACCGGGTAAAAATTCATTATACTGGAACAAAAAGCTAAGTTGTTCTATAACTTGTCATGGTGTAAACAAAAAGAAAATATCAAGTCAATATCTTCAAGCATGACTAAAAACAGTGTGGAAAACTGATTAAATGAGTGAATTTTTCAAGTCTAAGGACCATAACTCTGCACAAAATTATCAGTCCGAAACAAAATTTCGACTTGATCTGTATAACTTGTCATGATAAAACTATATACCAATTATCAATCAATATCTTCAAGCATGACGAAAATAAAATGCTTCGCTGGGCGCAGCTTGATACGACCGCAGATGTTGAACCCTGAACAGTTGGGGCAAGTATGGACACAACATTCAAGCTTGATACAGCTCTGAATTTGGATTGTGATTAAATATTTGACACAGCATAGGTTTCTGACACAGAAAGAATATGGTCTAAGAACTTGATTTTTTTTAATTTACCTATTATGGTCCAATGTCCAAAATCAAAATACATGGTTAGATTCAGCATATCAAAGAACCCCATATATTCAATTTTTGTTGAAATCAAACAAAGTTTAATTTTGGACCCCAACTTGGACAAACTTGAAAACTGGGCCCATAATCAATAAAATGCTCCGCAGGGCGCAGCTTGATACGACCGCAGAGGTCGAACCCTGAACAGTTGGGGCAAGTATGGACACAACATTCAAGCTTGATACAGCTCTGAATTTGGATTGTGATTAAATATTTGACACAACATAGGTTTCTGACACAGAATGAATGTGGTCTAAGAACTTAAAAATTTTTAATTGGACATTCACCTATTATGGTCCAATATCCAAAATCTAAATACATGGTTAGATTCAGCATATCAAAGAACCCCAAGAATTCAATTTTTGATGAAATCAAACAAAGTTTAATTTTGGACCCTTTTGACCTCAATGTGGACAAAGTTGATAACGGGGCCCAAAAATCAAAAATCTAAATACATGGTTAGATTCAGCATATCAAAGAACCCCATATATTCAATTTTTGTTGAAATCAAACAAAGTTTAATTTTGGACCCCGATTTGGACCAACTTGAAAACTGGGCCCATAATCAAAAATCTAAATACATGTTTAGATTCAGCATATCAAAGAATCCTAAGAATTCAATTTTTGTTAAAATCAAACTTAGTTTAATTTTGGACCCTTTGGACCTTAATGTAGACCGATTTGAAAACGGAACCAAAAATTAAGAATCTAAATACACGGTTAGATTTGGCATATCAAAGAACCCCAATAATTCAATTTTTGATGAAATCAAACAAAGTTTAATTTTGGACCCTTTGGACCTCAATATGGACCAATTTAAAAACGGGGCCTAAAATCCAAAAACTTAATACACGGTTAGATTCAGCATATTAAAGAACCCCAAGCATTCAAGAATAAAACCCCATTGAAATTGGTCAAGAAATAAGCAATTTATACGAAGTATCTTCTTTTGCACAATACTGTGCAATTGAATATTTCTTGCTATTGCGCAATACTGCATAAATTGACTATTTCTTGCTATTGCGCAATATTGTGCTATTGGATATTTCTTGCTATTGCGCAATACTGTGCAATTGAAGATTTCTTGCTATTGCTCAATACTGTGCAATTGAAGATTTCTTGCTATTGTGCAATACTGTGCAATTGAAAATTTCTTGCTATTGCACAATACTTATTATATAATAATTTACACATCCTGTTTGGTGTGTATCTCCTACCATATCATTATTATTTGCTTTTAAATATAAATCAGAAATAACCAACTAAAAATGGAAAATTTTAAAAGGAAAAAAAAACCCCCCTCCCCCCCCAAATTTTTTGAACCCCCTTATGATTCATCACCCCCAAACTCAATCCCAGCCTTCCCTTTGTGGTATGGTACCTTGCAGTACAATTTCAGAGAGATCCATACACTTGAACACAAGTTATTGTCTGGAAACTAGAAAAATGTGTTTTTTGGCCCCTTTTTGGCCCCCAATTCCTAAACGTTTAGGGCAATTACCCCCAAACTCAATTCCAGCTTTCCCTTTGTGATATGGAACCTTGTAGTACAATTTCAGAAATATCCAAACACTTACACACAAGTTATTGTCATGAAACTAGAAAAATGCTTGTTTTTTGCCCCTTTTTTGGCCCCTAATTCCTAAAATTTTTAGGCCATTACCCCCAAAATTAATCCCAGCATTCCCTGTGTGATATGGAACCTTGTGGTACAATGTCAGAGAGATCCATACACTAACACACAAATTATGTCTGGAAGTTACAAAAATGCTTATTTTTGGCCCCTTTTTGGCCCTTAATTCCTTAACTGTTGGTACCATTACCCCCAAAATCAATCCCAACCTTCCTTTTGTGGTATTGAACCTTATGGTAAAATTTCATAGAGATCCATTCACTTAAACTTAAGTTAGAGTGCGAAAACCAATGTGTCTTCGGACGACGCCGGATGACGACGCCGAC